GCCAAAGATTTGGCTACTGTATTCTTGAACTCTCCTGTAGGTGTGCTTTTAAGCTTCGCTTACAAGGGTCCTGTGAAGATTTGAAAACTGAACCTGGATCTTCATTTTTATGCAAGAATTCATGACGTTGGGTTTTTTTTTTCTTTTTTCCACCTTTATTTATTTACTTATTTTTGAAAAAAGGAAACAATCTTTTTTCATTATAGATATCAATCCAAGTTCCCACTCCCTCCTCTCCTCCCATTCCCTCCACATACCCCTCACAGCATTCGCTTCCACTCTTCGGAGAAGGTGAGTAAGGCACACTGCTTTGGGAAAGGTCCCACGCCCTCCCTACTATATCTAGGCTGTAAGGAAGAACATTATAGTCTACTAAGCTTGCTCCCACTGGTACTTAGGAGGAAAAAAAAACTCTTTTTAAATGATAAAGAGCTATGGTGAGAGGCTCACGGAACTCCAAGAACCCTTAAATTTAATAGCAAGGTCGTGCAGAATTCCAGGCCTAGAAGACGCTTTCAGTGCCCCACAGAGTTCTATCCCAAGCCATTCTGTATCCCCCAGAATGTGGTTTAGACACTGAGAGTGTATCTGGAGTGTGAATGGAGAAGGCTAAGGCCCAGTTTCTCTCCCTCCTTCTTCCCTCCCTTCCTCCCTCCCCTTTCACTATGGTGCCTTAGCCACCTGAGCTGTGTAATTATGAGAGAGAACTCTGCGGTTTTGCAGAGCTTGAAGGCTCCCAGAGAGACTATTCCATTCCTTCCATACTGTGTGAACTTCTAGCACCTAGCTACATGAACTTCAAACTCTACAACTAAAATCTTCCAGTTTACTGCATCTAGTTCCTGTTAGAATTGGAATGTGTGCAGCCGGTCAGTGGTGGCACAGGCCTTTAATCCCAGCACTCGGGGAGGCAGAGGCAGGCAGATCTCTGTGAGCTCAAGGTCAGCCTGATTTACAGAACGAGTTGCAGGACCAGCTCAATAGCTACTGAGAAACCCTGTCTCAAAGAACTGAAAAAAAACAAGAAAAAGAAAGAAAGAAAGAAAGAAAGAAAGAAAGAATTGGAATGTGTGCAATATAATTTGTATGATTCAATGCTTACTTTTAAGTGAAAATATTCTTCATATATTTTTTTAAAAAAGAAGCAGAATAAGTAAATGAAGCACAGAGGTTTCAGCAAGGATTAAGGAAAGTGGAGAGGATGTAATCCTATCCTGGGTGAATGAAAGAAAAAAGCGACAGAATGAAGTCACTGGAAGGGCAGCCTTGCCGTGTGCCAGGCTGTTCTGCCTGAATGTGCAGTCGTGGTGGAGAATAAATTGTGTGCACAAGGAATGCTTGGCATGAGTCTCTCTTGAAATATTTATTAAATGGATGGATAGATTCATAGGAAATGGAATAAATTATAAAACAGCCTCACTGATGAGGAAAAAGGAGGATGTGAGGGCAGACTTCCCTTAGGAGATGCTATGCTGGGCATATTTGATTAGTAGCCACCAGGGCAACAGGGAGACGGTGAGTGGGCTTTCTAGAGAGGGGATCTCACGGTAGTCACTAGCCACAGGCAGCTGGGAAGGAAGGTAAAATCTGTATCACATCTCACAGATACTGACCAGGGTGGCGGTGAAGGGGAGGCTGCCGTTCTGAGTCGTCTGTATCCATGTGCCTTCAGGTCCTAAATATCCTGAAAAGGAGAAATGCATCTGGACTGAACTCGTGAAGTCTTTATTTTTCTTGTAACCTTTCTTTAAACAGAACGGCATAACAACTATTCATATCTGCGTGTGATATTTACATAATCAGAAGATGAACAGCATAAGGGCGGGTATGTGGGTGACGTTTCTGTTACTGAGATAAAATACTATGACCAAAGGACGGAAGAGATTATTTGGTTCATAGTTGCTGAGGGATAAGAGTCCATGATGGCAGAGAGGCAGGCAGCAAGTAGAAGGCCTGTAGAGCCAGAGTAGGAAGCTGAGCGCTCCCACCCTTAACTGTAAGTACAAAGCAGAAAGAGTGGACTAAAGAACGGGATGAGTCTTTACCTCTCAAAATTCATCTCCAGTAAGGCAAGACCTTTTAAACTTCCCTAAGAGAGTCTCCAAATGGGGATCAAGTGTTCCAATGCGTAAGCCTACTGGGTACATTTTCATTCAAAGCACTACAGATGGTGTATGTCAGGGGAGGGACTGTTCCTTGTAACCAGCTTGTCATCTTATGTAAGTAACTTAAGTTTCCGCCAACTTTGGTATTTACTGGGGGAGTCTTAGGAGTATTCTCCGCACATGCTGAGGGCAACTCTATTCTCATCGAGAAAATGTTGCTGCAACTTCCTTTTATATGTCATTATACACTCAATTTTAAACAAAATTCTTTCTTCAAAGTTAACTGAAGTTTTCTTGTAGGAGATCTAACGATGCTCTGACGAGTCCGTGCCTTTCAATAAGCAAATTCCTAAAGGACACTGTGTTGTTCCTATTATGATGCAACGAACCCTTAAATGAGAGCTGAGCTATTAGCAGAAACTCAAGTGTGCAATGCGATATTGTCTGCTATAAGCAAATGTACAGCAGATCCCTAGAAATTCTTCTTTTCTTTGAGGAAAGGGGGGGGGGGCACTCAGACACATGTTATCACACAAGCATGAAAGCCAATGTCATTCTTCCCAAGACATCATCTAATTTATTTTCAGACAAGGTCTCTCTCTTTGCCTGGAACTTGCCTAGTTGGCTAAAATGACTGCCAAAGAGGCTCAAGCCTCTATCTGTCTCCACCTATCCCACTCCTGCCACCATGCCTGGCTTTCTTAGATTCTGGGGATCAAATCAGCTCTTGTGCTTACACAGTGAGCTCTTCATTAACTAAGTCACTGCCTCAGCCGCTATGATTTATTTATTAACCTTACACAACTGAACCTCTAAAATGGCTTCTTCATGGTATCAACATCTTTTTTGTTTGTTTGTTTGTTTTTGTTTTTCGAAATAGGGTTTCTCTCTAGGTTTGGAGTCTGTCCTGGAACTAGTAGACCAGGCTGGCCTCGAACTCACAGAGATTCACCTGCCTCTGACTCCCAAGTGCTGGGACTAAAGGCATCACCGCCTGGCAGGTCAAGCACGAATCCTTGATAACATAATTATGTATTTGGATAAGCTTAACCTCTGCCATCAACTGCCACAAAGTATGCTTTATGGGCTCCTTAAACTAGAGTTCTAAAGCGCATTGGCTTTGGTGGAAAGGAACAACGAGGGGAGCAGAATGAAAGTAGGCTGAGGGAGGCTGAGGAAGACTGAGCTACACAGGACCATAAGGCTTTTTTTTGTGGGTCTACTTGGACACTTACTAAGCTGATGTCATAGAAGTCTCCAAGAGGGTATCACAGTTCATGACCATGGGGTTCTTTCCTCATGAAGGCCTTGTAGGTGTTTGTGTCTGGCGGAATGCACCTTGGGGAATTCTGAAGGCATGGATGGTGACAATTTACAGTCATATCCGTGGATTGCAGAAGAAGAGGGAAGCAATGTTTGCCCTGGGGCCCTGTGGGAGGTGATGGGAATGTTGGCTCCCCCATCCTCTGTAGCCCCAAGCCACTCGCATCCCTACCTTAGGCGAGCTGTGGACCTTACCTCCAGTGCCCAAACCATTGTCTTGGTCATGTTGTTATTGCTCGGTCATGCAGGCTTAAGATAGGAAGAACAGTGGGTGATTCACCCCTAGACTGGCTGAGTTCCTCTAAGATTTTAAAATCCTCATCCCAGAAGAAGGCATGATCCAGGGCCAGAGCACAAATATAAGACCACATATCCAAAGTTTACTTATATAAAAATTATATATCTAGCCAAAACTGATTCCTCTGTCCCACCCTTACCTTGGCAAACATATCTGACAAATATATCTTGGCAAATCTCTCTATAATCTCCAGGAGGTTGGATTCACGTGACTTATTCATGAGTAGCTGGGAGGTTTGCAGAGACGCCACATCTCCAGGAAAGCCACTGGGTTTTTCCCTCTTGACTCCAGGGCTGGTGGCCAGGGAAGAATGTGCAGCAAGAACGGTGTGCCCTCAGGAACCAATGCACCCTTGCTCTGTCCCCACTAGTCCCAATTGGTACCCTGGAGGCCACTGGTGCCCTTGCAGCTGGCTCTCAGGATAGCCCGGAGAATGAATTGAAATACCCTGGGGGATGCTAAGGGTCTGGGCCAGGAACCAATAAAGCTGCTCTGGCTTTGGGGATACATGGCCCTGCAGAGGCTCCAGCACTTGGCAGGCCAGGTGTCTAAGCAGAATTTGGGAGGAGGGGCTGATTCCTCTGTGTGGACTGCACTATGTAGTTTTCATAGCTTCTGTTTCTGGTTGAATTTAAGCACCTCAGGGCCCTTTGACCTACCGTTTTCTTCCTCCCAGAGGTAGGTTACTTCCCCTTTGGCATTAAAAGGAAAAGTGCATCTGTTGTGTGAAGAAATGAAAATGATGTATTTTATCAACTTCAAAACTTGTCCCAAGGCCTTCTCCCAGACCATGATAGATAGAGGTTTTATTTTCATTGAATTCCTGTGTGGACAGCACATGCTGGATCACATTGCACCAGTGTGTGGCTGGAGGCAGCTAAGGGCCCTTCAAAGCAGCATCGTGGTCCAGAGCTGCGTTCTCTAGCAGGATGGACAGAGCTGCATCAATGTCGGACCCCACGGGAACAGCCCCTCCCAAATGTGATTTTAAAATGTACTACAACGAATGGGGCGGGGCCGCTGGCATTCCTGTGAGAGCAAAATAAGAGACGGAAGGGAAAGACCGAAAAAGGAGGGCAAAGTAGAAGAAAATTCCCTCTACACAAATGTCACAGGATCAAAACACTCATGGTTTTGGCTTTGCAGTACTCTTCTGATAAACTGCTCTAGTGAGCTAGGCTGGCCATCTTTAGATGGGAAGTCATGATCACTCAGGTTGAAGACAGGGCAGCCACCCTGGCTACAATCACATGTGCTGTGTTCTCCACCCCCAGGATCCTGGAGCTGCAACAGAGTGGAGACATGGACATCCTGAAGCACAAGTGGTGGCCTAAGAATGGCCAGTGTGATCTCTACTCCTCAGTAGATGCGAAGCAGAAGGGAGGAGCCCTGGACATCAAGAGCCTGGCGGGCGTATTCTGCATCCTGGCCGCAGGGATCGTGCTCTCCTGCCTCATAGCGGTGCTGGAGACGTGGTGGAGCAGGAGGAAGGGCTCACGGGTCCCATCCAAAGAGGTACTTGAACTTGTGCCCCAACTAGAGCTGCCAAACATTCGGTGGCTGCATTTCCAGGGAGGAAAGGGTAATATTAGCAATTGCTTTTTCTGATTTCTTTGAAGATTCCAAACAAGCATGTGGCAAGGCAACGCCAGTTCCCATTTAGAACATTCAGGGTGAATAAAGAGCAAGGAGCAGTGTCTGTGAGGCCGACAATTTCATATTCTATAGCAGGCTCTGAAATTCTGAGTCGTGGCCTACATACTAATGATCCAGCAAGGCTGTGGTTCCCTTGACCCAGTTCTCAAAAATGCTTAATAGTTTCTGTCGATTCCTTAAGTTGGAGTTAAACCTGTGTTTTAAAGTCTGGGCATAAAAGGCCCTGGCATGATGCTTTCTCTTCACCATTAGGCCCTGCTTCCTATCTGTGTGTGAAGATCTGAAGAAATGATGACTGTGTGTCTGGGGCTCTCCTGTGAGCCCACGGTGCCAAATTCACATGGGGAAGTCCTTCTGAGTTCTGCTTATCTCCCTGACTATGTCATCAGCTTAACGCCAGGGCCACGTTCCAGTTTGTATAGCTGTGCAAAATCATATATAGAAACTCAGGGAAAACAGCATGTGAGGTAAATTCATGAAAACATGAACATTGGAAAAGAGAGAGAGGGACAACAGCACTTGGCTCGTTCATCTTAAAGGAGTTGGTGTGAAAAAGACATTGAGTTTATTCAGTGGTTTCGTTTGAGGGGCCGTTTCAACAAAAGTTTTAAACTTTATGCCCAGCGCTTGGCTGACTGATGCCCAAGGCAGTTCACAGAGAATGGGCTTTGATGTACGAAGAAAAATGACCTCTCATTTGTATCTGCATGTCTGCGCGGCAGTGTTTGTCTTTCGAACATCCCTCTCTATGTAGTCTAAGGATCCTCATAGCTCCTTAGATGCAAAGTAGCATCAGTACCGTTTGTAAGAATGGCTTCGCTTTCCTTGCTTCCTACCTGTGTGGGTGATCACACCCAACCCCACAATGTGGAGACAGGATTAAAAGCTAATCAGGTTTATCGCCATGTCGTCTTTGTAGAGTAAGTACGCATTGGTATCTCTGCTGACATCAATCCAAAGCAAAAGGCCACATTAATGCAGATTTGAGACTCGATGCTCTGCATACTCTGGAAATGAAGGGCTCCTGGGCTTCCATTTTTGAATTACTACAGAAGATATTAAATGTTTGCATTGTTACAGCTGTTGATGGATGTCTAGATTACAGTTGCCGTGGGAACCATAAAATTATACGCCTCAACCTTCTGAAGTCTCGGTGATAATACTGCATTAATGGATTTTTATTGGATTTTTAAATGAGAAAGGAGAAGGGAGCGCAGGGCTGTGCATTCCAGCAGGCTTCGCTGCAGGGTGCTGCACGCGCGGCGGGAAAACACATACCCTATTCTAACTCCCGATGGCCACTCCAGGTTCTGTGCACAAACATCTCCTCTTATGATTAATGGACATTTTTATAACCTCATAAATTTAGTTTATTGACCTTAGCTGTAAATAAGTCTGATCACAGAGAAAATTTTATTTATTCTCAATTCTATTTTTTCAACCCTGAAGGGTTTAGTGGGTAGGATTTCTCTCTAAAACTCTGAGGCTTTACTGCCTTTTAAAAATAAATAAATAGAACTTCTTGCAAGCACACCACCCACTTAACATAAAACTGACCTGCAGTTAAAGCTCCTTATTCACACGTCCTGACCTCACATTTGCCAGGTTCAGGTGCTGGGTATCACATGCTATCCCTGTCATGGAGAAGTCTCTCTAGTGCTGACTCTGTCTAAGAATCCTCATAACCCTGGGCTGCAAGAAACAACACCTTGTTTGTTAGTCATTGACATATTAGTGCAAAGAAACACATATCTCTCTCATCTAAGGACAGAAAATTAAGGCGAGGCCTAAGGGATAGAAAGAGTTAAAAAAAAAAAAGAATCCATCTGGTAGGAGACTCTGAAAGAGGAAGCATGCACTGGAAAGGGGTGGCAGGGGTTGAGGGAAGTCTCCAGAATCAGACCTTCTGCTCGTGTCTCTGCCTGACCCTGTCCCGCGTCTTTGTAGCTGCATGCGACATATGCTCATTTTAAAGCTCCGGCTGCAAAGAAAGTATTTCCTATAGATACTTTATCTCAAAGCCCTGTCAGGATTCCCAGAAACTAGAACAGTGCCTGGCTCGTGCTAGGGGCCCAGTCAATGTCTGTTAAGCAAATATGCACCACAGTTCAGTTAATTACCTGTTTGCTGAACGACTTTTTTTTTTATTTTTTTTTAATCCATGCAAGCTAGTACTGATGAGATCCTTATTTTCTTTTTCTTCATCTCCAGGATGACAAGGAAATTGACCTGGAGCACCTCCATAGACGTGTAAATAGCTTGTGCACAGATGACGACAGCCCCCATAAACAGTTTTCCACCTCGTCAATTGACTTGACCCCTCTGGACATTGACACTTTGCCAACACGACAAGCCCTGGAGCAGATCAGTGATTTCAGAAACACTCACATCACCACCACCACCTTCATCCCAGAGCAGATCCAGACTCTTAGCCGCACGCTCTCAGCGAAGGCTGCCTCTGGCTTCGCTTTTGGCAGTGTGCCGGAGCACCGAACTGGCCCTTTTAGGCACAGGGCTCCTAATGGGGGCTTTTTCAGGAGTCCTATCAAAACAATGTCATCTATTCCTTATCAGCCTACTCCCACCCTGGGGCTCAATCTGGGCAATGACCCTGACCGAGGCACGTCCATATGAGCAGCAGACAGCTCTGCTACCCTAGGACTCCCCCAGGGGAGCAACTGTAATGTGGGACTAACATGGATGTGACATTCTATTTAAAAGAAATCAGGATAATTAGTAACAATTCTAGTTCTTTTTCCTCACCCTCTTCCCTGCTCTGTTGCTTTTTTTCTCTCTCTCTCTTTCTTCTTCTCTGTCTACCACCCTCCACTTTTTTTTCATTACTCAACTTGTTCCCCACGAATATAGTATTCTAGGATCCTAATTAGTCCGCTTCTCATATACTGTACTTCAAGACTAGGGCATGAGCGCTGGGTCACTGAGAGCACTCGCAGGGTTGGCTCTGCATACAGGGCTCCCACGTCCCATTCCTCTGTTTGGAAACTACAATTGCAATAACTTCAGTCTTTCTCCGTCTTCAGCTGCATCCATACAATTCTCCACTGTTGTCAAGCGTCCTTTAATTGTGGACCAGAGGCAACCCCTGCAGTGTCTGGGAAATGATTTGAAGACCATTCAGGCCACGCAATACGAGAATGCAGTTTAGTTGGATTACAAAAAAAAAAAAAAAGCCATTTATACCCAGTCAAGACTACAGTCAAAATCCCCCTTGCACTGCAGCAGGTGCACACCCCCTTCATGTGGTTGTACAGTATTCACACTTTCTCTTATGTACAGTAAACTTTACCTTATGGCAAAGGCCTTTATTGTGTTAAATAACTTAGTATCTCATATATACATATATATGCACCTATATAATGTGTATATATATAAATGCAGCCATTGCTATTGCAATTCATTTAATAAAAGCTTTAGTTTAAAAACCAAGCATTGTGTACAGGAGCTATGAGAGCGCAGGAGGCCTTTCCAGGCGGAAAGGCAGGTTGCTTTAATGTCATTCTGACCTGCGTTGTTTGCCAAGAGACTATTTTATAATTTTGTTATTAAAACATCCAGGGTGATTTCATCTTTGTTCCTAGATGTACTCATTTGAATAGGTTTTGCATTCATTACTCCGCAGTGTAGAAAGCTAACCTTGATAATTTTACCTTTTGTTAATTATCTAAATGGGAAATGCCATTAGCTGAACCTTACACACAGCACACAGAGCAGAGTTTAACCATAGATCATTGTCGGTTCAAAGTCCCCTTCCGAAACTGCGAGCCAATCTGTGTAACTGTAGCTAGGGAGGAGGGGAAGCCCCGCAAGTGTCGATGTGGCCTTATTTGCTTCATACAACACCCTACAGCAAACACGTAACAACCTTTCTGGGCTCTCATCTGAACCCCTTTTCTACCCGCTTCTACCGGAGGTGTTCTGTTTCTTTTTAAAAATCAGTGCCCAGTGTGTCAGCAGGGGCAACAAACAAAAACCAGTGCCTCTTGGTGCACAATCCTCGAAAAGTAGCATTCTTATCTGTTAGAAACATAGACTGAGCTTCATCTGTAATCCTAAAACTCGACATGGTAAGTAGGAAGCAGGGATTTACCCTGTGATTTCAGGCAGCCGTATGCTTACTTTAATCTCGTTCATTCTGTGGCTAGGATTGCTAGAGGATCCAGCCTATGTGATTTGCTTTAGGAGCAGTTAAGAGGTATATCCTTAAAGTGTATTCTATTTTGATCTAATTCTGTTCTGGGGAGCATCTTGTACTGTCACTGTTTTTGTACTAAATCTTTAAATATTGTCTACTGTGTCAGGCAGAAAACTTTCTTCTCATGAGGAAGCACTTTGTTTCCAGGGTGACGAGTCCTGCGGTGCATGCACACCTTGTTCCCCTGTGACATTCATGTCCTCATTTCCAACTCTGATTTTCAAATGGAAAAAGTCTTTACAGCTATATAGGGGCACCCCAAATGCTGCAGTGACTTCAGCTATCAACAAACTGTTAACCATGTACAATACTGGAAATAGGCTAATTTTGATGTATTGCCTATTCTACAAGTCCACAAAACATTTTGGAGGCCTCAGTTACGAGTGGCAGAGCTTTCTGTGTATAATTTGTCTACATAATTTGTCTAATAAAAACGTTTTCTAAACTTGCTCTCATACTATTGAAGTCTTAACCTCTCGAAAACACTGACATTGTTGAAGTGTAGAGCACAGACTCTAACCAGCTGGACACCAAAGTGGAGGGTCTCCAGAAACCACGCTTAGAGAAGCCCTGAGCCAACCAACAACTGCCAACCTGCTGTTCAAAACAACAATGTATTTGTTTTTTTTTGTGGATGGCTTTGTGA